AGCCATCAACCCCCCCCATTCAAAAACTCTCTTCAAAAGGAAATTTTCATACCCACTGTTATTGCAGCACTATTTACTATAGTTGAACTATGGAAACAGCCTCAATGTCCCAGAACAGATCAGTGTATTAAGAAAATGTAGTCTATATTCACAATGGAATACTACTCAGTGGTCAAAAACGATAAACTCATGCCATTTGTGGCAACATGGATGGATCTTGAAGGGATAATTCTAAATGAAGTAAGACAGAAGGAGAAAGATAAATACAGGATGGCAACACTAGTAGGTGGACTCTAAAGTAAATAAACTAATAGATAAAGAGAAGCTGATAAAAATAACTCACCCTTGATAATTGATTACAGAAATGATACATTAAGTGGGGATAGAGGATAGGTGAAAGGAGAGAACAAAGAGGGAAGAAAACACAATGCTTTATGTTCATGGCATATGAGTTTGTGTGGTTATAATGAGGTGGTAATAACTAATGGAGGAACCCCAATATTACCTCAGTTAAAAATTAAGTATCACTGTAGTAAAAAATTTTAAATGGCACTAAATGCCAAAGCACATAAGAAAATACAGGTTAATTTAATGAGATCATTATTAAAAACATATTTCAGACATCAATGCTCATAAACAATGAAAATACAACTACTTGCCTTTTTAAAGGGCCCATGCTTCATATTATGTCCCCAGCTGTAACATCTTGATGTTAGGAATTATATTTGATGGTGTCAAATAAATATTGTTGATTTTTAAACTGAAATTGAAATTCTCTACTCGAAAAAAATTCATAAACAAACTGCTTATCTCAGAAAATAACTTTTGTCAATAGTTAGCTTCCCTATTAATTTGGAAATATAAATTTAAATTACTTGAGAGTTGAAATAAATTTTATCATAACCTATGATTGTAATTAATGGACCAGCATTCTCTAGTAACTTATGTATATATCTATTCCATTTACATTAGAATTAAATGTTATTAATGGTTGGACAGATATTTATGTATCCCTTTGGAAATAATACTTCAAAAATGTATAATGTTTACATTTCTTAACTTCTATGTTCCTTTATAAAATGAAAGAATAACTGAAAACCCATTTGACATTAAAGACACATAACAGACACAATTGAAAAACAAAGACACTAACAATGTTGCCCTACACATGAGTCATTCAAGAAGCATCTTGGTTAAATAGTCTCCAGATGGCAGTCTAGTACTACCTCAGTCAAAAATTCCACTAGAGACTCTGGTGATGCCTGTGTCCTCAATTCCTGGCAAAGAGAACAGTTTCCATTATCCTGGCTGAAACTTAGTAAAGACTCAGTTTGTTCATTGATAAAATATACAAGAATTATTCTATACCATTTAACTATGTTTGCAAGTAAATATAAATAAATTAATTCTTCAGGTTCATATCTTTTAAAGTATAAAGGGGCACATGGGTATAGATTACAAATCTCAACATTTTTTAAATAATATTACATTTACTCAACATGACATCCAAACCAAAATCTAAGTAACAGTTGTGCTTTTTCCTCTCAAAAAAGTGATATTTCCATTGAACCCATATTCATACATGATCAGCCATAAGTAATTAAAATAATTCTTTTACAAAAAAATTCAGTAAAGCCTTGCCTTTATTCATCACTAGCAGTACATAAACATAAAATCTTAGTCTTACATAACATTTTAGAAATTTTAAAATATAGGCCTTCACAAGCATTCCACATTGTCTATTCTGTACTTTATTAAATATACATCATTTTTCTATATTCTCTGCTTATATATTGTAGTAATCAGCTCAGACTTTCATAAAAAAACACATAGACTATGTGGCTTAAGCAAAATAAATTATTTCATGGTTTTAGAGGCTGAGAAATTCAAGATTAAAGTCCAGCCTCACAAGGTCTGTAAAGTTCTTTTCCTGGCTTACAGACACCACCTTTTTGCTGTGTATTTACAGATCAGAAATCTCTATTTCTTTTCTTAAAAGGTTGCCAGTCCTATCGCATTGGAAACCCACCCCTATAATACATTTAACTTTAACCAACTTCTGTAGGCCCTGTCTCCCAACATGGTAATTTTGGGAATTAAGATTTCAACATGTGAGTGTGTGGGGAGTGGTGGGAGCACACGTTCATGTGTAGCATCAGTTAAAAACAGGATTAAATGGCTTTAATTTATAGTATAGTCAATTTTCTTTTGATCCTATTTACATTTATGAGAATCTGATAACTTTTCTACTACTACTTAATTGGTGAATACTCTGCCAGATCCTTTTTCATGATTTGAAAATCATGATGCATTGTATAACTGAAATCTTAAGCAAAAGTTATTTAGAATAAGCAATACATACTGTGTTAGAGACATACCTAGAGAATTCACAAATGAAAATTAATGCAAATATAAAGAAAATAAGTCAGTAGACAAAGATATAATAGTTTCTTTGAATATCTTTATTTTTCAAAACCAAAAGAATGGTCATAGCAACTGAGTTGAAAGGAGGGCCAGAGGAATAAAAATATTAGTTGGGTAAAGTGTTTAAAAAAGCAATCAGACTGGGAATTCACTTTCAGAATCAGGTAAGTGTGGGTCAGGAAAATATTCTTTCTTATACTTTTCTAGTTTCTTGGCTGATAAACCACATCCACTTCTTCAGTAAAGCCTGTATAGGCTTTTACTTATAGAAGTAAAACAAGCAGAAGTTCAATAATAGTATATGTGCTGTATACATGGGAGGTACAAGCAAAACTGAATAGCTCCCTCAAATGGCCCAAGTCATCAACTTTTATATGTAAAGATATATATATATATATATATAAGGAGGCAGTAATGGGAGATTACTAGGAAAATCTCACTAAATTGGGGTGTGGTTACAATGCCTGTTAAATCACTGCTTTGTCCATTGTTAAGAACTTCTAAATAATTGGTCATTCTTGCTCCTTGGTACACAAAGAAAAGACATTCTTTTGAATAAAGAGTTCCTTATAAATGTTAATGTCTCTTACAAAATGATATGTTCTAATTGATTTTAAGAACTACTCTCTCTTCTCTTTAAAAAAAATGACTGTATGATCCTTATGTATAGTCTACTCTCCTTCATAAGATTAGAATTGAAGTAAAAGAAAATCCATACATTAACCTGATATGTAAATATAATGTGTGAATACAGAAAGTGATAATTTGGTATTCAAATATACTATAAATATTACAATGTGGTAAATTTAATTATATAATTACATCAATTATCTCAGAGAATACAATCTATTGTTTTCATACTGTGTTGTGGACTATAAATAAGGAAAGCATGTAAAATAATCCATAGCTATTATTTTTAAAATGCCACCATTTTTTATTATAAGGGTTCTACATTATTCCTTAAATAAATTAATGGAATGCAAGTTAGAAGAATACATCACCAGAAAGCAAAATTGATGAAAAGCTTAAAATGAACAGCTTCTAACAGGGTTGAAAAAAACATTTAAATCTTTGCAGTTAATTGAAAACCATAAATAGTAAGTCATTATTAGAAAAAGAAAAAGAAAAAAAAACTCCAGTAAATTTTTAAGCTAGAGAATTTATATGAATATAAACACAAAGTAAAAGTCCATGTTATGAATAGTAAATGACTGCATTTTAATTATGAAATAAACACTAGATTCCATTTTATAATACTTTATAAATTTGCATGACATATGCATGTATTTGTATTTTTATATATTAAAGAATAGCTAGAGGCTGAAACTATTGAATATTGAAATACACTTAATCATTTTAGTATCACTACCTCATTTATTATTCCTTAAGAAATATAATTATTCACTAAAATTGTTTTTTTATTCATGGTAAGTAAATAAAAGTGGAAGATATGTAAGATTTCTCAAATATCTTCTCTCCCAACTTCCCAAGAAATGAGAAGGGAATCATAAAAATCTTTTGAAATTTGATGACTAGGTGTAATATGAACTAGGGAAACTATGAACTAGGGAGAAATGATCTTCTACTACCTTGGATAAAAGCTATTGTTTCAGTGTCTTGTTATTAGGAAGATAACTCATGCAAACAACAGACAAGTCTATTTCCTGTATTAAGAAGGGATGATTTTTAAATGGCCTCATTATTATTAATAAAGTAGTGAAGAACTCAAACAATAGCAATCAGTTATTCCAATAGCAACATGGGTTGAGCCAGAAATAAAACCACAAAATCTCTTCCAGGAATATATGGACATAACTACAAATAATGTTTTACCAGCTAGTCACACGTTCCTTTAGTCAGTCCAGCCTTTGTGGGATGGATTGGAGGGACAAATAGTAGTGCTCTCTGGAGGATATTCTTTCCAACAATCCTGGAGAATATTTACGAAATAAATACAGGGGAAAAAAGTCAGCTCCTTGTCAATAATTAATCTAGTTCAGTTCCAGTCACAAAGGTATAGAGATATTTGCAAACATGGCATTCCATTTTCTAGAGCCCTACAGATAGGAAAGTTCTATATACTAGGTTAGATTTTCATGTGTCAGATAATTCAGTTTCTTTCTCTTGTAAAGATGACTGTGGTGGAAGAGTGTGTTAACTTTGGCGGTGGGTGTGGTAACATTTTTCTGAAGAGGTATGAATTTATAACTCTAAATCATACACAGTGTTACAAACCAATGTTACTTCAAATAGAATGAAACATTTAACAGGTGTCCTTTATTCAAGTCTTATCTACATGAAGTCACTAGCCTAGCTCTTTACAACTTAAAACCTAACTCTGCTTTGCTGAGATCAATTTCAGAAAAAAAAAGTTGCCAAAAACTCAAAAGAAAACTTTATTGAGTAATACAGACTAGGAGTTTTCCTACTTATTTGCATATTTAAACCGAATTTGTGGTGATATTATGTTGTATTGATATTATGTTGTAGAATGTACTAGTATACATTCTAATACTTTAGACTGTATATGAGCTTCAAGACTTCATATTGTTTTCTTCCATTCTATGCATATTTAGATTATTTTGAATATACTGAAGAAGTGATTGGTATCATCACAGAGGAAACAGGAAAGGCAGAGACATACATAAAGGTAGGTTTTCTTCTAAATTTTAGATGCAAATTACCATCCTATATTTTCAAGCTATTCTTAACTGACCATGCTAATGTTATTTAAATTTATGTAAATGTGCATATATTTAAATCCTCTTAAGGACTAGAGCTGAGAAGGCTAAAATCCTCAGAATATTCCTAATGTATTCAATTAGCAGTGGTTGGATTTGTGAATTTATAGTTGTGTTTGAGGATATAATCAATAAATTTTTATTTAGCAAAGAGAAAGACATATCAAAGTTTGTTATTTTGTGGGAAGGGAGACTGACCATTATTATTAAGCAGCATTACATTTTTTTTTTTTAAGATTTATTTATGCTTCTAGAACTGAAGTACAGCCCAGAGTTTCAGGGACGGTGACAGGATTCACCAAAGATGAGAGGGGAGGAGCGGGTGAGACAGGAGAGGTCTGCTGCGCCATGTGGGTCACCTCCTGGGAGGGGATTAACTCACACTGAAGTGACTGTGCTAGCTTGCAATTCTGTGTCCGAACTGGTCGTGCCACCCCGGAGGGCCCAGGCAGCATTACATTTTATCTTTGCTTTTAGATGAGCATTTGTGTTCTGCTTGCTTAGCTTGGTTTTATTTTTGCTAGTCACCTATTTCTTAACCAGTTGCCCCTCAAAACCATTTTAAATATTAGCAAGATACTGCTGACAGCTCATCAGTGATATACACTGAATCCTGAAGGAGTTATTGTAGAAATGAATTTAATTTCTATATTTAATTTCATTATAATTTTGTTATCAACCAGTATTTTTGAACATGTGTGTAAACATAAAAAAAAATGTAAGGTAATGTGCATTTGTTAATTTGTCCTCAGTTACTAGTTTTTCAAACTTGAAGCTTAGTTTTCTAGATATGGGTTTTACAAGGTACTGTATTGCTAAAGATTCTTTGTTCTGTCACTATTATTTACTTACAAATGATGTAAATAAATAACTGAATTGTTTGCTAATTGGGATGAAAAGTAATTAATTTTAATGAACTAGAAAGGCTATCTTATGCTAATTCTTTTCAGTTTAAGGAAAGAAAATATGGACATATGTTTCTTGGAATTTCTTGAAATACAGTTTTAGAATATGTTAACTGAACAACAGAATGGGCATAAATGCTTACCAAAAAGTCTTCACATAGATAAAATGGATGAGATAATGCAAAATAGCTTAGGTCAACACTCTAATATCAATTCATTTTGCAAGTGTCTTTTTAAAAAATGAGGCAATAGTCAAAGATAGGTAAGGGAAGAGAGCAGGATGCACTTTGAAATACAAATAACTTTCATTACTTTTCCAACTTTGCTTTGTAACCAAAAGGAAAAGTATTTCAGCATTTTGTAATTCACAATCCTCCTTACATAAAATGATGTAATGCAATTTACTTCCTTACTGGCGATGAGACAGTTCTTTAAGTAGATAATGAGAAATTCACACACTATCTGATGAGATTTTTAAGATTAAATATATTTCAACTACCACTTTGAATGAAAAATATGTACAGATGAAGGGAAAGATGAGTGAGTCACTTTATGACTTAAAATAAATAGCCCTATCTTTTATTTTATACATAATTAAAAGAGGTAAATTAAGACAGTGCTAGGGTCTGCTATTACACATGAAGAATTTGTAACAAAAAAGTCAGTTGACTATTACACGTTTTTAAATATCAGTGCAAAAGGTTTGCCGCCGTGGAAGTTTTTCATGCTTGCTAATTTTTTAGTTATTGAACTGTGATTTAAAATGGGGCATGCAAGGAGTGTACATAGCCTGGTTCAAATAGCAATAAACATGACTTCAAGTAGATGTTCATAGAAAAATGTCTATCTACAGAATTAGGAGAAGGTAAGGCTGCCAGTAAAATCCAGGCACCAGAAGGAAGCATGTTCCTAATCAGAATCCTCTAGAAAGCTGCATGAGTCCTGAGCCTGGAAGAACTGCCTGGTAATACTTAAGAAGCAATGAGAGGGAAAAAGCACATATGCTGCAATGTGTCCCTCAGGCTCAAATGGTCTTTTGCGTTGTGCTTAGTATTTGTGGCTGCCACACAAGTCACAGGGTGGCCTTCCTCTTAATCTTGCCTACGGATTCAAATAGCTTCCTTGCTATGAATTATAGACCAAAAAGAAAAAAAAAAAGAATTAAGTTGAAATTTATACTGCTTCTTACAAAAAGCAAAATCATCTTCTGCTGTGCTTGTACACACTGTAGGGGAGGATCCCCATTAGTGCAGGGGAACACTACCTGCAGGAGTACTAGCGATGGGCTGTGGCTCACAGGCTCTCCCACAGGGCCACAGAGCAGACCTACAGCCAGTCAGCACTGACGCCATCTCAGCAGGCACCTGTGTCTTCTTGAGGAAATTGTCTCTGCAGTTACTTGCTTGCAAATGGTATTAAGTGCCTGGCATGTAATACACGATGCACAGTGAGCACATGTGTCCTCAGAGCTATTACTCTAATTTTTCTTATAAGCTTGTCCTATGGTTTACTCATCAGTGATCTAAGAATAAAGAATGAAGAGAGAAAATTGTGCTAGAATTTCTTTACCACGTTCTCAGTCTTGAAGTTGAGGGAGCAGCTCTTAATCTTGTACCTTTGTGTATACATATAGCCAATAAAATGGATAAAGGAGTTTAAAGAGGTCAACCATGGTCTTTTTATCTGTTAAAAATCATAAATATATTTTCATGGATTTTAAAATCTCAAAATCTTTAAGATAATCTTGTTACATTAGCCCTTATAAAGTTAACTCTGGGACTAATACTTCTCTAATATGTGTTTACTTTTTTTCCAGCTTCGTATAGGAATTGTCAATATAAATTTGTATTCAGGATTTTCCAAAAGCCTGACATGTTTCACCAGTTAAATTATTCCCACTCTGAAGGATTATACAAATAAATATACTTCTGTTTCCCATTGAAAGGAAGTAGCTGTATAGCATTTGAATTGAATAAATCTGAATATTAGTTCAGGAGCTGAGCTTTTATTAAAGCTAGAGGAAACAGAGTTTTGTGTTTTATTATTATTATTATTATTATTATTGAAAAGGAGAAAAGGGAGAATTCTATTTGACCACACAGAGAGATCTCATTGACATTCCTTCTAAATGACTCCCAAGTAGAACAGATGTTCAATAATTATAAACCAGTAAGAATTTTCAATATTGTTCTCAGTGGTTCATTATTTTGTTATTTTCTGACTAAGTGGGCATCTTTGCAGTACACACAAAACTACAATGTGACTTATTATTTTAAATGGTTAAGCCTCTGATCCCTTTTTCATGCACAGCTAGGGGTTTGTCAGTTGGCTTTGTATTCCCACCTCAGGACTGAGCTGTCACCTGGCAATGCAATGGAGTCCTAATTCGTGTCTGTTTTTTCTGCAGTCCCCAAAAGCAGGCAGAGTGATGTGTGAATTATAAGTATAATGCCATTGTCACTATGGACCATGCCCTCTACTCCCAACTCTAATGCCTCGATGAATTTGCAATCTTCCCAGATATTACAGTGGTGACATAGTTAAATGTAGTGCAGTGTTGGGACTACTGGGTAGTGGGGTGGCTGGGGGGTGGGGTGGTGCAAGAGGTAGGGCAGCTCCACAGAAGGGAGCAATGAAACAGCCTGAAATTTTCAGTTCACTTAACATTCACACTAAGGCTCAATAGAGCCAAGCGAAGAGTAGCTTCTGGGAAATAGTGGAGTATTTTTCTTTTTTACTAATGGTTATAATGACATATTGTGTATCCGAAAAACAAGTTAGAAAGGCAATCTTGAATTCTCTGTGACAGTTTTAGCACAGATTCCCATTCTGTAAAATTCTCATTAGCCATTCAAATTTCTCTAAAGTTATATGATAGGTGACATGATGGCATTCTGACTGAATATTCCCTCCTGTGCTTTGTGAATTGTTTTTTTGTTTGTTTGTTATCAGGAATTGGTATAAATCTTGGTTTGGAGATTAGTAATTGAATGACTTCATGACACAGTAATATTTTGCCCAAATCATGTTGCTTATTTTTCTCCAAGTCTTATTTTACAACTTTTCTTTATCTAATCCTTTGTGCCATTTTTGCTCTTACATATTGCATCCTACGTGTACTTAAATAGCATGTTCTATTCAACTCATTCAAAAGAGCTTTTAAAATATTATTGAAAAATAAAGAAAAAATTTCTAATGATTATAAGAAATAATTATATATCCCTCCTCCCCCCCAAAAAAACAAGATTAATTTCTCTAGATCCATGGAGGAATTTGAACCATATTCTTATTGCAGTTTAATGAACTTTCTGAATACTGATACTAACTCATTTATTACTATCTCTCTCCCCATAAAGATTGCAAATATGTCAAATAAGCCAAAAATCATCTTAGTTACTGAACTTTTACTTTGACCATGTTTTGCATTTTTTCTCTAAATATTTTCTGATCTTGATTACATATGATGCAACTGTCCACTAATTTTATTTCTTCTTATTGTGTTTTGCAACTTGCTGGTTTATAATTAGCACGCTGGTATTTATTTTATTTTGAATAGTGGTCATTTTTATATTGAGACTTCATTGATTAGTCCATATACCAGTGAGCCCTCTCCATAATGTGAGAATTTGGAAACTTGTTTATCTCTAGACAGGCAAAATTCATATTATAGTACAAATACCCGGAGAAAATTTATGACAAATACTAAGCATTTTATGGCTGGTGTAGGATCGAGTTAAGTGCTGCATCATGTTTTTCCTTGAATTATATTTTGTTTGTAAGTCAGAATTTAACAGTGTATCATACTTACATAGAATTTGAATTATATTTAGATCTACTGCTAAGGTCTGGAAAGTAGTTATATCAAAACTGTCCTCTACATGTAATTTGGGCACTGTCAGTTCCATAGTGGTTTATAGGAAATGTGCCAATTCCTCAGTCATTAACTGTGTCCTGTGGAGATGAGGTGGCTGACTTTAGGAGAAATGCAAATAGAGCTAGCCATT